CACTTTTTATGATACAAACAGTTTAACTATGTTTTGGGTTCTTGAAAAGCCTGATTATTGTTTCTTGATCATTTATTATACTCTATAAGCTTGAAAATATAAATAGTTGTCGAATAAAGCTCAATATTTTGGACACAAAAATGTAAACAAAGGCTTTGTTTACATACGGACTGTAGAGCACCTTTAAGTAAAAGAAAAGTTTGGGAAAATATACTTAAGTAAAAGTACTACTGAAATAGAATATAAATTCGCAAAGTTTAAAGCAGCAATAGAACACTCAGACAAGTAACGTAGTAAAACAACTTTATTCTTTAAATATCTCCATATATATATGGTAATTTTGATCATCTATGACTGTTGGGGCAGAAGTCTCTGAACAAGACTCACAAGAGTTGCTGTCTATCTGTTTTCGAATATGGAGGAAAAATATCGCCAAGGACGAATAACTGTAGCGACAACAACGTCCACTGACATATAATATGATTATATAATTATACAAAAAGAAAACATTTGGGCGGAAGTCAAAACAGGACTTAAAAAGTACTTTATTAAAAAATACTTCGGTCTTCGTTAGGGACTGGTCGTAAAGTAACTGCTAGGGTGGGCTGGAATGATTTGGGATGGGCCATGGAAAATCTTTGGGCAGTTTCGATGGGCCGCCAATTTTTTTGTATGTCCACGGTTGGGCCACCAAACAAAAACCCATGCATGTCTACTGTACTTCAAAAAATAAAGGTATTAATAACAAAAGTAAACAAAACTATCCAAATTATCAAATGCAAATGGTGCTATTGAAGCCAGTACTTTGTTTATACAACAAAAAGAAGTGGTCGCCGGAATCACAGCAAATACAACCAACTGGAGAGCAGCTCATTATCGTAATTGATGATGAATGTGTTGGTCAAGCTTGGTGGAATTATGTATGTCAATACAGTGCCGGTGCATATTTACAATGTTCATACCTGCAAGTTTTTTTTTATTATAAAAATGTATTTTCCCAATTTAGATTGGGTGGGTCATGAAAAATTTTTTGTAAGATTAGATGGGCTTTGAAATTTTTATCTACATCCTAAGATGGGTGACCAAACTTATTGGCAAAATTTTTTATTTACCTCCAGCCCACCCTAGCAGTTACTTTATGACCAGTCCCTTACAAGTATAAATACTGATTTTTTTTTACTTAAGTAAAGTAACGAAGTAAATTTACTTCGTTACTGGCTAACCGTTCAAGATTATATCACACAAATTAGCTCCGATTTCCTCCAGCATGCAGAACACTTTTAACATACTTTAACTTGGCACATAAAAAACTGGACAACATTTACATAACTTAAACGGACAATTACATTGTACAAGATGATGAAGAAGGTGCCAAAAGTGGCGAAACACAAACGAGACTATGTCCCATGCACTTGGTGCTCACCACCAGACAAAAAAAAAACAAGGAAAAGGCAGATTAAATGGAAAGGCAGAGAGAATGAAAAGGCAGAGATAATGAAAAGAGAGAAATGAAAGACCTGGACGATATTTTTTATCGAGTCGTGATAAGTGAGTGTGAGGTAGGCAAGTCAGGAGTGTAGGGAATACTATTATAGTGAGGTGGATGTAAGTCTTGCGCAAGTATGATTTAAGAGACAGTGACATAACAATAATAACAAAAGAGCAGATTTACAAACATAGTTCCACAGTTTAACAATTCTAACAAAATACGAACTTTCAAATGTACTTGTTTTGCATGCTTGTGTTCTCAGAAGGTCAGAGGTGGCCGCACGAGACTCGAGTCAGCAAGATGATACCAAAAAAGGAAGCGTTAGTGATTGAATTGCTTCTTCAAAGTAAATGCGATTGAAACAGACACAAATAATTTTAATTGGTGAATGAATTTTTGCCTTTGCTCTACAAAGAGTTGTTTCCAACTAATAATAATATAATATTACATTGAAAGTTAAAATGCTGTACGAAGTTGATGCAGAAAACCAACACGACATGCAAATGTGTGAATAAAAACGCATTATTAATATTTCGAATAGTACTCAACCCTTTTCATTCTTATATACCATAGTTAATCAAGATATACTCCAGAAACTCGGCCAACGCGTTTATTCTTCTATTTTTGTTCATGTTTATCCAAACATGGGCCCAGTGAAGACAACGAATTTTTAGCTTAGCTCATATAAACAGGCCCTAATTATTAATAGAATATTATATAATTTATTATTAGCATGACAAAATTACTGGATGCTGATTGGTTGAGAGGAGTACAATTATTTCATTAACTGTACTGCAGTACAATTAATGATTTTCCCAAAACAAACAAAATGGCGGAAACGTATTTTAAACTCAAGCGTGAAATGAAATTGCCGTGGAGGAACTAGATGAAAATACGAACAAAATCGCCAAATTTTGCTTTAACAAAAGAACTACATGAAAATACAAACAAAAGCACCAAATTTTGGTTGAAAGTCTGGCGGGACTGGGCTTTGGCGAGAGAATATGATGCTGACATTGAGAAGTACGTATCCAATTTTGTCATGTTAATAATAAACAAGTAATCATGCGATGTTGCTCGTACAATTAGGGATTAATGGTACTCGTAATGTTTGGAAATTTGCCAAATTGGACTCGCCCCGGCGGCTCGTCCAATTTTGGCAAAATTTCCAAACATCACTCGTACTATTAATCCCTAATTGTACTCGCCATCGCATGATTACCTATACTAATACTTAAATAATATTATATGATATAAATATTAGTATTATATTAATTTAGTATAATTACATAGGTGATTATTGAAAATTCTCCACGCTGATTGGTTGCCGTTGAGGTGATTATTACGCGATAATCACCTAAGCGATTTTCAAAATGGCGGTCGAAGCCTTTTTGTCAATTAAATGACGAAGAAATGTGTATTTTCTTATTTTTTTCCAAATAATCATCTATGAAATTATACTAAAACAATTATTCACCTCAGGCTCGGTGATTATCGTGAATAAAAACCTCGACTTCGTCTCGGTTTTTATTCACCGATAATCACCTCGCCTTCGGCGAATAATTGTTAAATAATATAATATTATATTATATCATATAAATATTAGTATTGAAATACTAATATGCAAAATTGCAAAAGATCTGTGGCACGGTGAACCATAAAATCGTAGGTCATTCTAGATGGCTCAGAGTTTGGCAAGTTTTCAAAACTATATCTTGATTGCCTATGTTCTTACATAATCAATACCGCTCGTATACATCAATATACACCAAAAATTCAAAACAGGAAAACGTTAAACGATCTTTCACAATATTAGATCGCCAAACCCGCAGTAGAATACGGAGGTTTAGAGGGAGTGCGAATTCTGGTACGACTTTCGAAGACTGACTCACTGAATACACAGGATTATTTATATTATACAACGAAAATAGTCAAACCTACAAATGTTGGTGCCATGAAGATGATAATGAGAACTTCAAAACTTCGAAACGTAGATGAATAAGGTTTAGGAATTCTGGAGTTGGTAACTCCAAAAATTTAATGATGTAAAGGAAAAAGCTTTAAGCTATTCAAATTTGCTATCTGCAAAGAAATAAAACCGACTGCATGCATATTGCTTTGTTTTTGTCATATCAAACTTGAAACCTGGTTAAGTATACTATAGGTATTAGGTGTTTTGAGTAGTTCTTGAATTCAAGTAGTTCACTGAATTCAATTTAGTCAATTCATGTTACTGGATAAACTTTACATACTAAGGTAATGATAGTATATGGTTTTGAGTGCAATGTGGGAAAAAAACATGCACGAGTGAGTTTTTCGAAGACGATCAAATTGAGGTCTTTGAAAAACCAACGTGTGTTTGCCTTTCCAAATTGCACCAGAAAAACCATACTGTAATTTATTAATAATATACATGAAAGACGTATGCAAAAGCAAATTCATGATCACTTGTATGCATAAACACATGCGAAATAAATAATTTACTCGTTCATTTGAATGGCACAACAAAACCTTACTGTCGTTCCAATTGAAGTGTTCCTCAAATATTGATTCAATACATTACCTCGGGCTGACCAATTCATTTCATCAAGTTCCTCGAAATATTCATACACTTTCTAGTATAATTGTAAACTTCCTGTTGAATAGTTTGAATGCACCAATCACCTTTGTTGTTTGTGCAACTAACCAATCATAAATAGAAAGGAAGTGACCAGAAATGATCAAATTCTTGGAATTGGCGCTTTCACAGGAAGTGTATGAATATCTCGAGGAACTTGATGAAATGAATTGGTCAGCCCGAGGTAATGTATTGAATCAATATTTGAGGAACACTTCAATTGGAACGACAGTAATATAAATTTTCAACTGTCAAAAACTTATTCGAACTTTCTTTTGTTTAGGTGCTTGCGTTTCTAAGTTTGGCACTGTATTTCGTGAAATTGCATCTGAGCCAAACAGAATTGAATTTTTTCATGTATAATTTAACTGCTTAAAAAAGTATAGAGCTACTCGTAAAAGAGATCCGGTATTTCAACCATCTATGAAATTTTGTCCAGAAATTCGCACTCAATCTAAACTTCGCTAACAAGACAAACATCCCACAATAAGCAAACCAGTAACGCCCCAGGCAACTCATTCATTACGCAACGTCATTCTCCATTATCCTTAGTCGTAGTCACCCCCCTGCCTATCTTCTTCGTCGTCTGGGAGCTTCTCACATAAATCATCTATAACATCAATGTAGAGGTAAAGTCAGGGAGGTTAGTGATAAAGTCGGAGGATAATAACATCTGGTAAAGTCAGGACCGTAACAAAGTCAGAGGAGTGGTAACAATTGGGAAAGTCAGGGGAAAGGTAACAACTGGTAAAGTCAGGGGGTGGTAACGAAGTCAGGGAAGTGGAAGCAATTAAAGTCAGGGGGGAGTGGTATAACAACTGGTAAAGTCACAGGGTAGTAACAAATTAAAATTCTATAGTAGATCTTCACATGAGAGTGTTGAGAATTGCAGGGAGAATCGGAGTAGGATGAGTGTTAGAGCAATTACAGTGCGTCCACAGTAAGTGGGGCCACTTAGAGAACACTAACCAATCAGTTTGCAAAACAAAAATAGAAATCTAATCAAACTAAAGCTCGTCCAATCAAAAGAAAGCATGGAATTCGCTTCAGGAAGCCAGTAACTGCAGTCTTTACGTTTCAAGTCTATTTTTACCGTTTGACATTCGTTTGTTTGTTAAAATTGTTTTTGGCCTATTAATGCTCATTGGCTAATGCGCCGTTTGTTGATTTTTTCTATTTTTGTTCTGCAATGTGATAGGTTAGTGTTCTCTAAGTGGCCCCACTTACTGTAGACGCACTGTAAAGGTATTGAACATGATTTTACTATTCTTACAGCAAAATACTTACTCAGAGCATCCCTCATTCTTTCCCAGCCTCGTCGTGGGATTGTAACACAGGCTCGGTAATTATTGGTGACCTTGACAAGTGAAAGATATTTTACAACTTTATAAACGAGAAGCAGTTTCAGACAGATGCGATACTCATACGCTCGGTTGGCACAGGATTAATCGAACCTGGGACCTCTCGACCTCCAGATGATTGCTCTAGCGACTGAGCATTCATCTGTGGGATTTGGTAGAGGCGAACTGCAAGCAATCTTCTAATATGTCAGTGAGGGGAGGGACTGTACTTTACGAACTTTACAAATAAAACGAGCCAATGGGGAACAATACTTTTAATTTCATACCTCAGAAAGTCTTAAGAACACACCACGGTTATTATTACCAACATCAAAATAAAATCTCTTTTGTTCAACACGAACTTCCTTAGCTTCCGGTAAGTTCAACTCATCTTCCTCTACAAATTAAGAAGGTTCCGGTTCATTATGTAACTCGCCTGCCACAGTAGTGCCACGTAGGCCAACAGGCTCGCCCTATGTAAACAGCCCCGCATTCCAGGGCTCAAAATAACGGGAGATAGGTCTCTAGTCACAATGACCGGTCAACTTGATTTTAGCTCGGTCAAAATACGTTTTTGACCGGTCATTGATACGCTTACACTAACAGTGAAACAAACGATTAGAGACTTGTTTCGATACATCATAGTTTCATGTTTTTAATTCAAGACGTCAGCAATCACTTTGGGGATGAAAATGTGGCCAGTCAAAATGACCGGTGAGGTAAAAACGTGACCGGTGAAGATGCATTTTGGCCGGTCATGGTCCGCTGACCGGCCATTATTTCGAGCCCTGCAGGCCAACCTACTGTACTTTATGCTTCACAATATCTAACACCAGGACAAGAGGGTGGGCATTTAGATATCCCGGAAAGGGGCAGATCCAAAAAGTAAATTCATGCAGAATGGAATTTGAAAAATAAATTCATGCAAAAACATGGATATACTGTGTACATACAGATACAGAAAACAATTAATGCACAGTATCAATAACATAAAAAAGTTTGAAAAAGCTCCGAACTTAAACAATTCTTGCAAGAAAACCCCCTCCCTCCTGAGTAGTGCTGTGCGCCGGAGTTGCCGGAGCCGGAGTTCTGCCGGAGCTCCGGCAGTTTTTCCGACGCCGGAGCAGAATTTTGTATGCCGGAGCCCGGAGCCGGAGTTACGTTTTCCCAGCTCCGGCAAAATGACAAGAAAACAATATGAAATGAGACAAATGTCAAACGATTGTTAGTTACTGCAAACTGCCAATTGCTGTTCAATGAATTCATCATTGACTCAAACTGCCACAACCCACAGGAACAGCGTCGAAAAGCTGTAAAAGCTGTAATACGATCGCAACTTACAAACGTCATGCTTTCATGAAGCCATCTGACTTAGCGCTACATACTGTAGTCTGTGTATTTCATGCCTTGTAGATAACGAAAAAGTACAAAACAAATAAATATCAACCTTTTGAAAATGACAGAGTACTTTGTTTGCGTGCGAACAATTGCGCTGTGGAGTCTGAGAGTGTTAGCGTCATGCCTCGCGTCATGCCTCGTGTCAAAGAGTTTTCGAGGCTGGTTTCCATATAGATATTTTCTGCGTGGTTAAGTGTTTTCACTGTTTTGTTTCCTGAGTTATGTTATCTGATAATTAGGAAGCGCGAAAAGGGTTATTCATAATAATATTAATAAATGTTCTCTGATCGTAAAACATTTATTTAATATTTTATGATGTGGCCGGAGCCGGAGCTCAGAGCTGTAATTCGGCCGGAGCCGGAGATGAAAAACCGGAGTTTGCACAGCACTACTCCTGAGTCCCTAATAGTTCACCCCTTATTGGGTTTACCAGAAGTACCTGCCTTTAATAACGGCGAAAGTTATTCTTGAAATCAAGAACAACAACCTACTGTATGATGCTTCACGTTTACAATGATGTTAAATAAGAACGGACATGGTATCATATTTTTGTACTCGAATTGAGTGCAGATTTACTGTAGTAATATGACAAGCGGGAGTTTCTAACAGTATAAAGAATGTATATACCTTCATCAGTGCCAAATTCATCAAGTATTTCAGAGAGAGAATTTCTGATATCTGCAATTCCTTGGGCTGGGATGGCCAATCTGTTGGTATTTGGATTTGAGCTCCATACTGGTTGGGCCACCTGCATGGCCAGAATTATCATTTGATTAACACACAACATATTATGTATCCTAAATAGTTTTTAGTGATTGACCGCTAATCGGTATCGGGCAGATTTTTGCCTTATCGGTAGACAATTGGAGTCGGTAGAATTACCTGTATTTCCAATTGTCCAAAACCGATTGTTGAGAAAATACGCACTTTCAACTAGGGGTGCACCGGATTTTAAATCCGGCCGGAATTCCGGCCGGATTTAACGAATTTTCCGGCATCCGGTATCCGGCCGGATTTGGAGAAAATCCGGCCGGATTTAAATTTCTGTTTTCACCTTAAAAATTCACCAAGAATGGGATAAACCATCAATTTGGCAGCTTTAGAGTTTAAAAAACACTTATATTATTATAAAATATTAAGTTATTAACAAAAAAATATTTAAAAAAGGTTTAAACACAATCAAAAATCTAAACTGACACTAACTAAAAATAGTAAAAAACATAAACCGCCATTTTGAATACTGATTTATCCACAATTGTCCCCATTACCGGTTTATTTTAAATCCGACAAATCCGGCCAGAATTCCGGCCGGAATTTTTGTCCAAATCCGGTAAATCCGGTTCCGGCCGGATTTGAAAATTCCAAATCCGGTGCACCCCTACTTTCAACATTATATGCATTGCACGTTGACACACAATATGTTAAACTAATGCGTGAAGCGTGCCATTTATTAACAGTTTTAACGATCTTTGGTTGCAGTAACGTTGGATCGTTAAAAAATTGACAAGAATGACCAGGCTCTTAAAATATCTTTTACAGGGCCGTCTGACAAAATGTCCGGTGACGTTGAGTTTGGGTCGGACATATGTCCGATAACCTTCAGTTCAGTTTTGGCTCGGAAATAAGTCTGAATGACACAAATGAATAAACGGTAAATGTTGTAAAGATATTAAATAATTTGTTTCTTTCATACTTATTTTCAAGCCAAAATTAACTTGCTTGCCAGAACAGCAGTATTAAAAAAGACTTCGACAACTTAAGTCCGTTTTCCACTTCACCATTTCGCTCGCCGCCCCGCGCTTGACTACGTTAAAGCAACATTTCCAGTTCAACTTTTATACAATAGTACTCTGACTTTCCATTTAACTTACAAGCCTCTAGTCCTGGGCTAGGATACATTTTGATTTACGTCGGACAAAGCTACAGTTCGGTCGGACACCAAAAAACTCGGGTCGGACAAACAATAAACCTCAGTTTCACTTTGGTCGGACAGAATGTCCGGTGGTTTCCTCTCTACGTCGGACAATTTCACGAATGGGTCGGACAATGTCCGTGACCGACCGATATTTTAAGGCCTGATGACGTCACTTTTACTCGGTGGACTGATATTATAACGTCACTATAAAATCGGTATCAGCATCCGTATCTGGCAGTTTGTGGCATGAAAAATCGGCAATTTCCGATTGTTGCACAATCGGTCAATCACTAATAATTTTACATGTAATAGATAAATGGAAACATAAGAAAACTATATTAACCCATGCATTGAGTGCCGGCACTTTCCCCTTGACGTGAAGTAAAGTTGTCTGGCGTTAGACAAAAACAAAGTACTAGAAGTGCACATCAGGGTGTAATAACACTTAAAGGGTTATTTTACTCTTACTATTACTTTACTCTGTCTAACACCAAACTATTTTCCAATATGTCTTGTTAATTAATCCATTCAGCTGCAATAACCTAATTGGTCCAGACGACTGTACTCATTAAGGGAGAGCACTGGCACAGAATAGAGAAACACAGAAGGCCGACTCAGCCAAAAAAGCATAACAGCTGCCATGCCATGATTCGCAATGATTTTATTCACCATGTTCCAAGCCAGTGCACTTCCGAGAGCCATTCGTCCCCATGAACGTCCACGATTTTGAATATTTTCAGGGGGGTTAATGCCTCTCACAAGCACACAGGCTAGGAACATGGTGACAACACTGCAACGGATACACCAAAATCATAGTACAGTCAGGGACGCCGTAACTGGGGGGCAGGGGGGGCGGCTGCCCCCCTTGCCTTTTGCTAGGGGGGGCAGGGGGGGGGCAGAAGTGCCCTTTTAGTTGTAAAATAATACGTGATAAATCACATTTCCAACGATGCTTTTTGTAGGAAAATCACGAGATTCAGGTAATTTATAGTTTATATTTATAAAAATTTTGGGAAATTTTTGGAATTTAGAAAAATATTTTGAATGGCGAAAATTTTAGATATCCGGAAAAAATTTTGGCTTCACGGAAAATTTTTGTATGTCCGGAAAAAAATTTTGACCCCTAAAATGGTACACTACTGACCGAAATTTTTTTGGCGACGGGGGGGGGGTGTACAGTACGTATAGAACCAAGAGGTCGGACTTCTGTGTGCCTCTATTCTGTGATGCTGGCAGTGCACTCAATGGGTAATGAGTTAGTGTATGCCCTGGAACTAGGCCGGCGTTTTGGCCTATTTTGCCGGAGTTTGTTCAACTCTGGCAGCACTTATTTAGCACAAACATTGAAGACATTGGAGAAAAAACCTGAATCCATCGACAAAAAAGTAAATACTCGCATTGATACAGTGTAAGAAGCGACTACTTCTTGTCTTTTTTTTGTGTGTGTGTTGGTGTTATGTACTCAGGTGAATATGATGTTTGTGATTGCTTGTGATGCTAACTTTTCAGCTTGCCCGGTTTGGATGCACACTAGAGTAACATCACAAATACTTCTTGTCTGGCAAAAACCAATACCATAATACATCATGCATGGTACGAAATGTTCATGCGAAGAAGTGTTAAAATAAAACACACAATCACGAATTTGCGGAGCTGGAAATTTTCTGCCGGAGCTAGAGTTTTTTCCCCGGAGCCAGACGTGAAAAACCACGAGTCAAGAATCAAGTGAACTTACTTTGAGAAAATATCCACGCTTGTTCTGTTTCAGGTCAAAATGGTAACGCCGGTTGTTTCTTTGCAAGTGATCACTAAAAAACAAACAAAAAACTGTCAGCTACATCGTGCATCTTTAAACTGCTTGCGATTCTATTAAATAATGATTCTTCCAAATGGCATATTTTCGATCATACCCTACTGATGTAATTTTTTCCATTTTTTAACATTTAGTAAAATGAGTTCAATGTTCAGTAACCATACCTCTTAAGTGGTTTGCTGCCAAGTTGATCTACAAAAATACCAACAAGAATTAGACAATTAGTGCACACCAAGATCTATGCTAGATGATTATACTATAAATTAAGTAAGTTTTGTTTTTGGCGAACCTCCATGGTATCCCACGGATATTGGGATACTGCAAATTTCAGACCCTGATTAATTGTCTATAGCAAGAGCAAAAAGCATGCCCAATTTATGTCTGGTATTGATAAAAAATTATATTTACCATCATCTCTTCCAGTAGCTTCACCAGCAGGATCTAAAATTGTTCCAAGGGAATTGGTTAGGGCATTATAAAATTTGTGAATTGTGATGTTTATATCTCTGTGTGCTGTGTTTCTGATATTTAATTAGTGATCATGCCTAAATGTTAAGAGCAACTATTGCTATCAACCTTTTTGCAAGAGGTGTTCGCATATCACATAAAACTGTTAAGTAATACATAGAGAATAATACATGGGTGCGCGGAAATACCAGATTTATTTCGAGTGTTCAACATGACATCTCACGAGTGAGCACAGCGAACGAGTGAGATATCATGTTCAACACAAGAAATAAATCTGGTATTTCCAAGCATCCATGTATTTTTCTGTTTATTATATAAAGGACAGTCTTTGAAAAGCGATAATTTCTACAGAAAAGCGTAAATAAAACATCTGTGGAAATGCGTTTTACAATAAAACATCTGTGGAAATGCGTTTTACAACAAGTTCTCTGACTGGTCAAACATATTTCCTAAGCGCTTTTTGATTGGCTTGCAAAAATGACATTTACACATGTAAAAATATCGTATTTTTTTACGTGCGTTTAAATACGATTTTTCTCAGTGGCCAAAAACTCTATATAACACTTATGTTTATATAATAAAATAAGATGCACACTCTGAACACTGCAAATATCAGACCTTGCACTGCATATTGTCACAATCAACCTGGTTGGAAAGGCTATGTAAGGTACATGCTAAGTCTCTGGAGAATATTATTGATGGCTCGGAGAATTTTAGGTCAGGAGGACCATCATGCTACGGGCTCCGACGGCATGCCCCCAACAAATGCCATTTTCGGGTATTTCAATTCAGGGATAAAAGACACTGTACAACTGAAGTTTGTGGGCGCAGATGTTTGGGGTGACAAATGTTTTGACACATTCCACAATTGATGAATTCCATAGTGTTGAACTTGAAATTTGCATATTGGATGATTATAGAGTGATAAATTTAACATGGCAGTCCATACAGTTGATTGTTGTAAGAACGAGGTTACTTTATTGAAAGCAACTATTCACTCTTAACAATTTTTCACACAAAATACTGTAAGTATAGCACATGTTCAGCAATCTAAAACTATTTGTGAGTTATTCATTTACTCAGCTATGGTGAAATGCAATGGAGGAACGGCAAATTTGCTACAAAATTATCTGAACCACTGGTGAAATTCGCCATTCGCCGACCTAAACCTGAAAGGCTGTGCACATCATGCTACCTGTAATTTGAAATTTTGAGATAAACCGGTAATGGGAACAATTGGGGATAAATCAGCATTCAAAATGGAGGTTTATGTTTTTTACTATTTTTAGTTAGTGCCAGTTTAGATTTTTGATTGTGTTTAAACCATTTTAAATATCTTTTTGTTAATAACTTAATATTTTAAAATAGTATAAGTTTTTTTTTAAACTTTAAAGCTGCCAAATTGATGGTTTATCCCATTCTTGGTGAATTTTTTAAGGTGAAAACAGAAATTTAAATCCGGCCGGATTTTCTCCAAATCCAGTCGGATGCCGGATGCCGGAAAATTCGTTAAATCCGCCCGGAATTCCGGCCGGATTTCAAATCCGGTGCACCCCTAGAATCTTGTTATAATTACAATAACAACAGGAGACTCAACAGTCAACAACTAATAAAACCAACAAGATGGAAATCAAATTATTCTGACACTGCAATCAACCAATGAAAAATTTGTTGGCTCCAGCGGGATCCAACGAATTTTTCGTTGGTCGATTGCAGTGTCAGAATAATATGAAACTGGAAATCAAAGGCTGGTTATTTTCAAGAAGTCACCAGTGACATTTAGCATTATCCTTGAAATTTTGCAATATCAAGTCGGGATACAAACTTGTCATTCACAGTTAAATGGTATCCAAAACCAAAACCAAATGTAGATCCTATGGATATCGGGATCTGCAAATTTCAGACCCTGACTAGACTATTTTACTTGTATCAAAGAGTTCTACATATTTACAGCTTACCAAGGGATGCATAAAACTCAGCAAAAGCAGTCAATTTTTCTTTGACTTCAGGAACAAATGACATGGGGATCATTAGACGGCTCTTCATTCGACTCGGAGGTATCTAAAACAAAATTGATTGTTAGCAATAAGTCTAATTTTATGCTGGTCTGAGTAATTACAGTCAATTTCAGCTGACTTTTCATCGTAAGATTCCGAACTTCGTTCCGAACTTCGCAAATTCGTTGCCAAGTTCAAAAGTTCATAATGAAATTCACATACAGGTTTGTAAACTGGGCATTTGATTGGCTGGTTTGATTTAACAGCCAATCAGAGGCTTCGTTTACAAACCTGTTTGTGAATTTCATTATGAACTTTTGAACTTGGCAACGAATTTGCGAAGTTCGGAACGAAGTTCGGAATCTTACAATGAAAAGTCAGCTGAAATTGACTGTAACAATTATTCAACAAGTCCATTTAGTCCAAGGATATATTCATTCACAGAGATAAGGCCCATTTCCACTCAAGAAAAATTTCCACAGTCAGGAAATTTTCCAAAAATGTCATTGTTAAAAGTTGAAATTTTTCAACTTCAAAATTTTTTTCCGACGAAAAATTTGTGTCAGCCAATCAAATTGTACAATATTTTCTTTCCGCGGAAAATTTTCTGGAGTGGAAATGGGCCTATAAAAAGCATCTGGAAAGGTGAATATCCTTGCACTATTTTGTTTTAGCATACACGGCAAAAAACGCCGAGCCGTTGCTCAACAGGACTGAACAATGTTTTGCTGCCCACGTTGTTCACACTTGTCAACAATATTGAACAATGTCGTTGAGCCTGAATCGGGTGTAACAATATGTTGACAGCTATGAACGTGGGCAGCAAAACATTGTTCAATCCTATTTTCATCAGTATTACTATTGCATCAACCTGAGCGTTTTTACGCATGTACGCCATGTATCATTCAATAACAAAAAATGACAAAAAAACAACAAAAACAAAAAATATGTTTATTTGTATATTTGTTATTTTTAGAATTTCGGACATACTGTATTTTGGTATGGTACAATTAAGTCCAGTTGCCGAACTTGTACCGTATTTAATTTGATTAGGTTTGGTGCATAAAAAATTTGCCGTCTAAACCAGGCCTAAGAGAACTTTAATCGGTACCAGCCCGATTTTTGCCTTATCGGTAGAGAATCGGAATCAGTAGAATTTTCTATATTTCCAATTGTCTAAAACAGATTGTTGAGAAAAATATATGCATTGTAAAAATGATATGCATTGCACGTTGATACATGTTGCGTTTAATGCACAATACGTTAAATTAATGTGTGAAGCGTGCCATTTATTAACGGTTTTAACTATCTTTGGTTGCAGTAACATGTTACGTTGGAAATTATTGTTAAAAGTCGACATGAATGATATCAACTTTACTTGATTGACTGATAATATGACATTATTATAAAATCGCTGGCACAACCGGTCAATCAGTAATTTTAATTTTGTACTTCCAATTGTCGGAGAGGTGTATTTTCGATTTCTTTTTCACTTCCTGATCCGTAAACTAATTAAGAGAAAAAGTCTGGCCTTATACAATTTCCACAGAATACTAGTGATCAGCACCAGTCTGAGATGTTAAATAATTGAGACAAATATACTTTCATTGCATTCCACTTTAAAATAGATTTTATCACCTACAGTTGGACAAAGCATTTCAATTCAACACGTATATATAAATAATATAGCCTGTAAATAATTGATGCTGTGTTCATTGTGCAATATCAGACAAAGAATAATGTCAAATTAGAAAAAGAGCAATGTAATTTAAACAAAAAAAACCAGGCCAAATTTCAGCTAAAACTTAACATATTAACTTGTCATTTATGCAGTACACAGTTTGTAATATACAAAATTACAAATTCACAAGAACCCGGGGTCAAATTTCAGCAACTTGAGCCCTGGAACAAAAGCGATATTTGCAATAAAATATTTTAATTTTTGATCTTAACATTCGAGATAAGGATAATAGCATTACAAGATAGCTCTCAAATTTGCGAGCTAGTTTATATTTAGGACATACGAGGCGGATAAAGTTATATTTGGCTATATATATCAAAATTTACACAGTAAAAAACGGAGTTTGCATTGTATTATATAATTTGACGAGCCCTTAAAAAAAGCTTTGCAATATTCAAATTTTCGAAGTGCATTCCCCTTCAATATTTGCAAATAAAAATCGATAAAGAATTATGTGCTAGAATCATTAGGATGTTTAATGAACGTAGATTTTAATCCATAAGGGTTTCTGCCATGAATTAAACAGCTTTCCGCGAAGACGACGAATTTTGAATTCATATAGCGACAGGCCAAATATTTAACCTTTGTAATTTAAATTTAAATGCAAAACCCGTAGCCATTTTGAGCTTAAACTGAAGTACAGCGAGATAGCAGTACAATTTACCTCCGTTATTTTCAAAAATCTGCCTCGTCGGTTCTCTTTCACGTCCATATAATAGACTTTGTTTTGTATTTTCAACGACTTCGATGATAGCTCTTTGTTGTCGCTGTAACCAGAGAAGCGACCGGCGCCTGTGAAGAATTGAAAAATACAAGCGCTCTAAGGCCGTGTAAGAGGAAAATACGACTGCAAAAGGAAGAATAGGTGTTGGGCTTCAAATGAAAAAGCATACCTTCGCCTCTAGAGTCTCCCTTGCCATCTTGGGAGCCTGAATCTTCTTGCATTACTGTCTCGCCATCTTCGGCCATCTTCCAACTACTGCCTTCTCCGGCAAAGAGCCTTCAAACTGCGCATGCTCATAACCTTGCTTTAACAAAAATCGCCCCCAAGTCCAAACCCCCCGGTTATAAAACATTTTTTGCGATTTGCTATACATACAAGGTGATCAAACTTTGACAGGTTATCCGTTATCGTGTGTTAATTATTGCGTTTACAGGTTTTATGTTTTCGTATTTATAAAGATCAGGTTTTTAGCTCTCAAATGACACCTTCATGGAATCATTGCGTTAAAAATGACCAAAAACGATCTGAATTAAAGTGATCGGTTTTCTACGTTTAGGAATTAGGATTTTGGGAAACCTCACATACCGATTTTGTCCATGAGAAACGTCACATGGACGTTCCTCTGGAGAATGGAAACCTCCCCCACCCAGGCGCGTAGCCAAGGGGGGGGATGGGAATCGGACCTTTTGTAAAGATCAGTATTGTAATTCTTCCAAAAGTGAGAAGAAACTAGGGGGGGAGGGTGCAAGTTGTGAATATATTTAAAGAAATCAACCGTCGTCATTAAATTGAAATAATTGCGTATTTGCGTTCACAAGCTATCCAGTATGTGATATGTACAGTTTAGTTTGATGCAACGCTTCAGAATATCTTCAAAGAAAAGAAATGAACTTAGTAACCGCTGTTGATGCGGTAACTTCGCTAATCGCTAAATTTTCTTCTTTCCGGATTGAGGAAAAATTTACCGAGTTTGTGCGCACTGCTGAATTCAAGGCAGTCGAATTTCACGTTGAAGATTCGTTTAGAGATTCCAGCAACAAACGCTGTAGAACGCTTCCAAGTCTAGCTGATGGACAAACATTGCTTGATCAGTTGATGCAGCATTAAGTCACCACGTTTTCTCCTCAACTCAAAACAGCACAACAGTGTCAGCAGAAAGTAAATTTCGCACTGGTTTTTACTATTGTCTGTTGGATCTGCTGCAGAGGGAGCTGAAGAGTCGATTTAATCAGTTTAAAATTTTAAAATACAGAAAAGCAGTTCTCAACTTAATAACAAGTTCATGAAACTTTCTTTATCTATTAATTTGACATGTTATGTTATTAGTTTATTCCACATATGCTTTGTTAATCGGCTCGTAAATATTACATCTATGGCATAAAATAAACCAAATCTGTGGCATATAGATCACCAAAAGGCCATGCCAAATATACACGTGGGAGCGTTTCGCTAACCTAAAAATTGAAAAATTTTCCGGTCCCCGGCTTTTAGAACAGTACTTGGCAATTTAGACCCCCCTCCATTCGTATGGGGCTGGCTACGTGCCTAACCCCACCCCCCAACCCCCAACCCCCGCCCCCTTAGAAACGTCACATATAGTTATCGATATTCTTCTTTCACAACTTCAAAATTTCGGTAATCGTTCCATGTTTCGCGCACCAATAATTAGTAAATGTTATCTAGAATGGATATAGTGTACTGCAAAGTCAACTGGATACCTCCATATACATGTATACACACCCTAACCCTACCTTCACCTTAAACCTAACCCTAACCCCTAACCTTAACCATAGAACAATAACCAAAATTTCCAACGTTTCTCCAAACAACTTTTTTTGCATGAAATATTGATTATTGACAATTTTAGCGCGTTACGTTTCTCTTGAAATTTGAGTATTTTCAAAGAACGGAAGGCTTAATATTATAAATGTATAGAACGGGTATGGTATTACGAATGTATAGACTGGTGTTTGTATCATGTTGTTTTCTTTTTTTATATTCTCCAAAGATGATTCCCAGATGTTAAGGCTTTCGAAAAAACTATTGAATTTTTCCATGATGTTTTACAGAGAAACGTCACAGCTGCAACCTCCCCCCTCCCCCCACCACCACCAAACGAACATATGATGTTTCTCGTGGGCAAAATCGATATGTGAGACTTTCCCGACTTTCTTCCAATTTTTCGAACATTTGCCCAAATGCTTGTTGTCCATTAAATTAGTCAAATGCCTTGAATATATCGTCGTAAAATATTTGAATCTTTTTTGTAAAGGCCAACTGAATAGGACCTATACTAATAGAGTATAGTCCTGGATCTTATCCACGTAAAAAATAGCAAAGGACTGTTTTAATTAATTATGTTGTATTGCTGCTATCAAACAAAATGTTTGCCTTCTCGTTTAATAAAATAGCCAAAAAATGAACTGACATTAATGCAAGCCATGGCCCATACAATTTTACTCCTCATCAAGGCGCTCAAAAGTCACTATTGATTCAAAAGCAAAGTTGTAATTGTACGACTGTACAATTTTGTCACATTTTTACCTTGAACCATCTTTTCTCGCCTTTTTAATTTGGCTCTCGAAATGTGACAAACACATACCACCAGGACTCGAAATAGCGGGCTGCCAATTGCAATGGCCAAAAGCAGGCCATTTTTAGAAATGGCAGGCAAAAACAAATCTTAACTGCCAGTCTGCCAAGTCGAAAAAAATGGCAGCTGAAATTCTATAGATATATTTCATTTCATTTGCTTACCACAACTCATATATACTAGATCATTTGGTTGACTATAAATACGTTTATATTAGTGAAATGTAAATCCAAGTTTACTGTAGTAAAATAGACAAGTTCAAAAATAATAAAAATGCATATCATGAAAACATTGATTTTTACAATATGACTCATATTAGACATCGCCATTTTGGCAGTTCAATGAATAAAAATGGCAGGCTAAAATTTATTTCACCTGCCAAAAAACTTTAGACTGGCAGGCCATATTTTTCTCTACTTCGGCACTGTATACCACCATTCAGAGGCCTACCTTACTAAGACTTATTACAGAGGGTCCCGAATGGGGAAATGGGAACTATGTTTTGCCTATTTTTGGACTGGAAAAATGGGATTTGCGTTACTGGAACTGAGAATGAAAGACACAAAAATGGGAAAGGCAAAACCCAAATGCCATTATAAAGACAGTTGTAGTTGGACATTTCAGATTGAAATAACTTGAAGAACATATACAGAGCAATTTTTGATCGCGAATTTGTTGACAAGCTTGCTACAATTTTCTGTAATTAATGTGGTCCATAAGCTGATTCATTGTATATTCTTCACAGTAATGTCAATGTAATTACTATATATTAAAACCTCCAGATGTAAATTCAGAAAAGAAACAAAAAATTGAAAGTAGCTTTCTAACTGGTTACAAAACTCATGAAGTAAGTTTGTAACGAAAACTAATTTCAAATTTTATGTGTAACCTTTAGCCGTAACTAGTTCCGCACTTTTCAAGCATGTAACTGTAACTATAGTTGCAAATTAAAAAGCTAAGTTACTTTTATTTTTGGACCGTTGAAAGTTGCAGCAAAGATTGCCCCGTGAACATCACTGACATGGACTTTAACTTGGGTGAAGAATCTGTTTGTTTATAAACGCGGCAAACACACTTCAATCAAGCATTCATGTTTGTTTCCTAGAACCCAGCTTTATTTCAATAATTCTAACATCAACAACGGCAACATCAATCCAATAATAATACATTTTGGTCCAGTTTTTCTCTGAAACATTTCGATAAAAGGTCATTCATCACCATCGAATGACGCTTATGGCAACTCCCGTAAGGGCCCGGTCATTATCTATGGCAGGGGTGTCACCGAAGAGAAATTTTTTGTTGGTAAACATTTTCCTGATCCAACCAAAAAAAGTCAAAAATTTTTTTACCTAACCTCAAATATCAATTTAAAAATAAATGCCCACCCCTAGCCAAAAACTTCACAAAAGGATACCGCTCAGTTGTCACACGTGTCCTTTTCTACTTCTGTGACACGAGTTTGATAACTGTTTGTATGATTTTCTGCAGTCTAAAATTTCACGTTGTCTTCACACGTACTTTCGTTGGAGACACCATTTGCCTCCTGACAAATCGGAAAATGATCAAGATAGTGACTCTGATTGATTTACATATTGTATTGACATATGACTGTTGACATTGTTTTTTAGTCTATACAATATTTGAGCGAGTCATGCTTCGGAAACGACAATAAGTTTTTATTACCCAATCCTTGAATTTTGTTTTTCATTTACCCAACCTTTTACTCACTCAAAATTTTGTTTACCCTTTTTCTCAATTCGGTGCCAACCCATAAATAATGGACCGGTCCCTAATTAAAAATTGCACACCTTTTGAAGTTCACGGTCAATATCAAGCCCGCGATGATCTATATATAATCCGGTCCGCCAATGCTCTTCTCCTTTAAGCAACTGGACTATACATGGCTCGCTTGGTTATTACTTTTCAGATTCCATCATTGACCATGACTAGTACTCAGTCTTCCTCGCTGCTATTCTCCTCGGTGAGATCATATGTAGCGTTGCTGACGTGGTCAAACCCACGTCACTTAACGTGACGTCATATAAACAAATATTAGAGGATGTAAGTGTAAGATTAGGGCATGGTTTGGGATTTGGATGGTTCAGGGTATTCGCAAATTTCATTCTTGAAAATTTGAACGAAATTTCAATTTTGAAAAGTGGAAACACTGATTGCGAAAAACAAAATGGCGGCCGTTTCGTAGCGAATTTCATATATTTTCTGAAGACATTTTACCCCCTCTCTCCTCCGCAGAGGCTTTAAAACTGCGCTCCTTCCCCCAGCGGCTACGCTCGTGTTCCAAGATCCGCCATGTAAAGTGTAGTGAAATGTATCTCATTGTAATATTAAATCCTAAGAAAACTAAAGCCTCTGCGGAGGAGAGAGTTTTACCCCCATGTTCCATTTCACACATCCTTTTAGTTTTACTAAGATCATACTTCGACCCCCCTTCTTTAAATGTATGTGCGGGAGGGGGGATGAATCGCCTCAAAAGCGACAAAAAATGGGGGGATAAATCTTTTTGTAATAAATGCTGGGGGTGGGTGTTACCGAAAAAGGGATGGATTGATTTAAAAAGGGGAATGAGCAAAAACTGTCATGAAGACTTCTGTCGTAGTGCAGAAAATCAAGGCTGAATTTCTTGATGATGAAATTTGGCTTGGATAATACATACAGTAAGCCTT